AGAGCTAAGGCGGGCCGCGCCGAAGCGAAAGAAAAAACAGTGAGGAGCAACGTCCGGCTCAGAAGCGGGCCCAACGTCCAAAATGACGTAGGAACATGCAGACTGGCACGGTGCTGGTGGGGATTTGTTTCCGTCGCGGCCGCAGGCGAAGGCGCCAGCAGCGTCAGCAGAGTTGGCTCGGGCTACGAGCAATCTAATTGCCAGGCTGGTGGGAATTTTTTGCGTCGCAACCGCAGGCGAGAGCGCCAGCGGCGAGTAAGGTCCGAGCGGGCCACGCAAGAGCCTCATTGCCTAACGCCGACGGGCCGGCGACCTAAGCAGCACGTAAGCGGGCGGGCCGGCTGGTGGGGATTTTTGGTTGGACGGCTCGAAGGACAGATCCAGGGAGCGGGATGAACGACTGGGCCACAGAGCGAGATAATTGGCTGCAGAGGCACGTAGGCCGCTGTAGCGAGTGCACATGCCAGGGACAAAATGACCCTCATTGAGGGACCGTCGCAGGCATCCCAGCGGATGGGGACGCAAGCGCGGCACCGGCGGCGGACGGATAGGAGCAGTCGCCCTTACGGCGCCAAACTCCAGCCGAACCACACACCAAGAAAAGGCGCGGAGCACGGACCGTACTGTGGGGATACGCGAAGCGCCAACAATTCGCTCGCAATTGGCACCTCACCTGCCGACCACGCCTGAGGCTCCTGTGCGCCGCCGACTTAAAAGCGTGTGTGTGCTGGTGTGTGCTTGTGTGCTTGTGTGTGCGAGTGGGGGCCATCGCGCCCATCTTGCGCACGGGGTGCGCCAAGCGGCCTTTCTGCCTCTACCCCCCTCGCTCCGCTTGCCCCTCCCCCCTCCCTCTTGTCGCGCGGCGGCTCTGCCATTCCCACGGGCGCCCGCCTGACCTGGGCCCTACCCCCATCCGCCCCCCCCGCCCTCCTGCTTGCCAGGCCTGTGGCTCTCCTGGCGTGGGCGTCGCGTTGGCGCGTGCACGGCGCGGCCGCGGCTGACCCCTCTCAGGCATTGCATGATGAGGGGAGGGGTGAATTACGCTACCGAGGAACCCCACATACTTAATTTAAATATTATGTGTTTGCTTATGTATAATATAATATATTTATATATATAAAATATATATATATATAAATATATATATGCACAATCCTGCGTTCTGGGCCCTCTCCGAATGTTTCCCTGCTAGCTTGCGCCATGCTGATAGCGACGAGCTGAGGACCACCCCTGCGCACGTCCCCTGTGGGTCGAGAAAGTGCCACGCCCTGCTAGGCTTTGCGCCAGTGTCGTGGATAGCGGCCGAGCTGAGAGACCACCCCCTGCGCACCCCCTGTGGTGTCGAGAAAGTGCCACGCTTGCTAGGTTTGCGCCAGTGTCGTGGATAGCGGCCGAGCTGAGAGACCACCCCCCTGCGCACCCCGTGTGGTGTCGAGAAAGTGCCACGCCTGCTAGGCTTTGCGCCAGTGTCGTGGATAGCGGCCGAGCTGAGAGACCACCCCCTGCGCACCCCCTGTGGTGTCGAGAGTGCCACGCCTGCTAGCCTGTGCGCCAGTGTCGTGGATAGGGACCGCGGTGAGAGACCACCCCCTGCGCACCCCTTGTGGTGTCGAGAAAGTGCCACGCCTGCTAGGCTTTGCGCCAGTGTCGTGGATGGCGGCCGAGCTGAGAGACCACCCCCTGCCCACCCCCTTTGGTGTCGAGAAAGTGCTACGCCTACTAGGCTTTGCGACAGTGTCGTGGATAGCGGCCGAGCTGAGAGACCACCCCCGGCGCACCCCCTGTGGTGTCGCGAAAGTGCCACGCATGCTAGCCTTTGCGCCAGTGTCGTGGATAGCGGCCGAGCTGAGAGACCACCCCCTGCGCACCCCCTGTGGTGTCGAGAAAGTGCCACGCATGCTAGGCTTTGCGCCAGTGTCGTGGATAGCGACCGAGCTGAGAGACCACCCCCTGCGCACCCCCTGTGGTGTCGAGAAAGTGCCACGCTGCTAGGCTTTGCGCCAGTGTCGTGGATAGCGGCCGAGCTGAGAGACCACCCCCTGCGCACCCCCTGTGGTGTCGAGAAAGTGCCACGGCTGCAAAGCTGTGCGCCAGTGTCGTGGATAGCGGCCGAGCTGAGAGACCACCCCCTGCGCACCCCCTGTGGTGTCGAGAAAGTGCCACGCCTGCTAGGCTTTGCGCCAGTGTCGTGGATAGCGGCCGAGCTGAGAGACCACCCCCTGCCCACCCCCTGTGGTGTCGAGAAAGTGCCACGCCTGCTAGGCTTTGCGCCAGTGTCGTGGATAGCGGCCGAACTGAGAGACCACCCCCTGCGCACCCCGTGTGGTGTCGAGAAAGTGCCACGCCTGCTAGGTTTTGCGCCAGTGTCGTGGATAGCGGCCGAGCTGAGAGACCACCCCCTGCGCACCCCCTGTGGTGTCGAGAAGGTGCCACGCCTGCTAGGCTTTGCGCCAGCGTCGTGGATAGCGGCCGAGCTGAGAGACCACCCCCTGCCCACCCCCTTTGGTGTCGAGAAAGTGCCACGCCTGCTAGGCTTTGCGCCAGTGTCGTGGATAGCGGCCGAGCTGAGAGACCACCCCCTGCGCACCCCCTGTGGTGTCGAGAAAGTGCCACGCCTGCTAGGCTTTGCGCCAGTGTCGTGGATGGCGGCCGAGCTGAGAGACCACCCCCTGCGCACCCCCTGTGGTGTCGCGAAAGTGCCACGCCTGCTAGGCTTTGCGCCAGTGTCGTGGATAGCGGCCGGGCTGACAGACCACCCCCTGCCCACCCCCTGTGGTGTCGAGAAAGTGCCACGCATGCTAGGCTTTGCGACAGTGTCGTGGATAGCGACCGAGCTGAGAGACCACCCCCTGCGCACCCCCTGTGGTGTCGAGAAAGTGCCACGCCTGCTAGGCTTTGCGCCAGTGTCGTGGATAGCGGCCGAGCTGAGAGACCACCCCCTGCGCACCCCCTGTGGTGTCGCGAACGTGCCACGCCTGCGAGCCTTTGCGCCAGTGTCGTGGATAGCGGCCGAGCTGAGAGACCACCCCCTGCGCACCCCCTGTGGTGTCGAGAAAGTGCCACGCCTGCTAGGCTTTGCGCCAGTGTCGTGGATAGCGGCCGAGCTGAGAGACCACCCCCTGCGTACCCCTGTGGTTGTCGAGAAAGTGCCACGCCTGCGAGCCTTTGCGCCAGTTGTTCGTGGAATGATAGCTTGGCCGACAGAGCTGAGAGACCACCCCCTGCGCACCCACTGGGTGTCGAGAAAGTCGCCACGCTGCCTACGCTTTGCGCCAGTGTCGTGGATAGCGGCTCGAGCTGCTGGGAGACCACCCCCTGCGCACCCCCTTGTGGTGTCGAGAAAGTGCCACGCCTGCTAGCCTTTGCGCCAGTGTCGTGGATAGGGGCCGCGGTGAGAGACCACCCCCTGCCCACCCCGTGCGGTGTCGCGAAAGTGCCACGCCTGCTGGGCTTTGCGCCAGTGTCGTGGATAGCGGCCGAGCTGAGAGACCACCCCCTGCGCACCCCCTTTGGTGCCGAGAAAGTGCCACGCCTGCTAAGCTTTGCGGCGGCGTCGTGGGTAGCGACCGAGCTGAGAGACCACCCCCTGCGCACCCCCTGTGGTGTCGAGAAAGTGCCACGCCTGCTAGCCTTTGCGCCAGTGTCGTGGATAGCGGCCGAGCTGAGAGACCACCCCCTGCGCACCCCCTGTGGTGTCGAGAAAGTGCCACGCCTGCTAGCCTTTGCGCCAGTGTCGTGGATAGGGACCGCGGTGAGAGACAACCCCCTGCGCACCCCCTGTGGTGTCGAGAAGGTGCTACGCCTGCTAGCCTTTGCGCCAGTGTCGTGGATAGCGGCCGAGCTGAGAGACCACCCCCTGCGCACCCCCTGTGGTGTCGAGAAAGTGCCACGCCTGCTAGGCTTTGCGCCAGTGTCGTGGATAGCGGCCGAGCTGAGAGACCACCCCCCTGCGCACCACGTGTGGTGTCGAGAAGAAGAAAGTGCCACGCCTGCTAGACCCCTTTGCGCCAGTGTCGTGGATAGCGGGCCGGAGCGGAGAGACCACCCCCTGCGCACCCCCTGTGGTGTCGAGAAAGTGCCACGCTTGCTAGGTGTGCGCCAGTGTCGTGGATAGCGGCCGAGCTGAGAGACCACCCCCTGCGCACCCCCTGTGGTGTCGAGAAAGTGCCACGCCTGCTAGGCTTTGCGCCAGTGTCGTGGATAGCGGCCGAGCTGAGAGACCACCCCCTGCGCACCCCCTGTGGTGTCGAGAAAGTGCCACGCCTGCTAGCCATTGCGCCAGTGTCGTGGATAGCGGCCGAGCTGAGAGAACACCCCCTGCGCACCCCCTGTGGTGTCGAGAAAGTGCCACGGCTGCAAAGCTTTGCGCCAGTGTCGTGGATAGCGGCCGAGCTGAGAGACCACCCCTGCACACCCCTTGGGTGTCGATGAGAGTGGCCCGCCTGCTTAGCCTTTGCGCCAGTGTCGTGGATAGCGGCCGAGCTGAGAGACCAACCCCTGCGCACCCCCTGTGGTGTCGAGAAAGTGCCACGAGCTGTGCTGTGCTGTGCTGAGCTGAGCCGTGCTGGGCTGTGCTGAGCTGTGCTGAGCTGTGCTGAGCTGTGCTGTGTGCTGAGCTGAGCTGAGCTGTGTGCTGTGCTGAGCTGAGCTGTGCTGTGCTGTGCTGTGCTGTGATGTGCTGTGCTGTGCTGAGCTGTGCTGTACGAAGAGTGAGGTGTGTGTCGCGGGTGCGGCGCGGCAGGGAAGAAAACCAGAATCCCACGAAGCATGTGGGGAAAAAGATTCCCCATATTTTCCCATGTCTTCTAGGTTTTGACTTCCCCCCCATCTCCCATATTTTCCTACATTTTCCTAGGGGTCGACGATTAATTGTGCCTGTGTGTTTTTTTGTCCCTCCTGAAAAGAAGACCCCCGTGAACTCAGAAGGCGGCCTCCCTCGCGTCAGCCCCTGGTCCGCGCAGCCAGTGCATTGGAGATTCGGTGCCGGATCCTTGCTGGCACTACCGACAAGCCGCGATGGCTCGCTGCGCGTAGTACTGCACGTCAATGTCGGAGTCCTGCTCGAGCTCCATGAGCGCAGGCTTGATCACCGTGTTGAGCGCCACCGTTCCGAGATTGTGGTTCTCCTTGGGGCTCCTCCACCTCCTTCCCTCCCCCTCCTCCCCCCCACATCTCCCTCCTCTCCCCCTCCTCCTCCTCCTCCTCCTTCCTCCTCCTCCTCCTCCTCCTCCTCCTTCTGCTCCTCCTTCTCCTCCTCCCTCCTCCTTCATCATTCGTCGTCATCTTCTTCCTGCTGCTCCTCCTCCTCCTCCTCCTCCTCCTTGATTCTCCCTCCCTCCCTCCCTCCCTCCTTCTGTGCCGATGCCCCCACCCTGCCAACATTCCCCTTCCCATTGCGAACTCAACGTCGTTCGGTCATGCCGCCGTTCAATCGAGCCCTCCTACATCCTCTCCTCCCTCACTCCCCCCCTCCCCCACTTCCGTCCCTCTCCCCTCGTCCCCCCTCTCTGAGGAGGAGTGAGGACGAGGGAAGATGATCAAGTGTTAGAAGGTTTCTGGGTTACCCTGGCAGTCCTTCCACTCCTCCCTCTCGCGTATCGTTCCGCCCCCTCCCCCCTCACTCCGCATCCTCCCCTCCCTCTTCTGCGACATCTGGGCGCCGCGTTGCGCGCGTCACCAAGCCTCTCTCTCTCTATCTCTCTATCTCTCTTTCTCTACATATATACACATACCGATAGATATGAATATTGCTCTCTCTCTCTCGCGCTCTGGCGCTCTCTCTCTCTCTCTCTCTCTTTTTCTCTCTCTATAACACAGCGTAAGGTGTGTGTGTGTGTGTGTGGCTGAGCGCAGCGGCGGCCGATGCGTGCCGATGCGTGTGCCGATGCGTGGATCCCGGCGGAGCCGCGACCTCAAATGGCTGCGGCGCTCGGGGAGGGCCGCGGGTGTCGGCACGGCGCCGCCCGGCATCCGGCGCCATGGAGGTGGCCGCCCTCGTCCTTGTCGTCGTCGTCGCCGTCGTCGCCGTCGCCGTCGCCGTCGCCGTCGTCGTCGCCGTCGCCGTCGCCGTCGCCGTCGCCGTCGCCGTCGCCGTCGCCATCGCCGTTGTCGTCTTCGTCGTCGTCGCCGTCCTTCGGAACCGCTTTCCGTCGGCGCCGCGCCACGCGGCGCACCGGGGGCGGCGGGCACCCTTTTTGGGCGCCCGGCGGCGTCCGGCGGCGGCGGGAGCAGGGCCCCGCGGAGACCGGGGCACCGCACTCCGGGATGCTGCCAAAAGCAGCAGGAGCACGCCGGGCCCTGCCAGCGAGGGCGCCTCCGCCCCGAGGCCGCAGCCTCCTCGGGCGCGCCAGCGTCCTGCGCAGGCAGAGCCCCCGCACGGCTGCGGCGACGACGTCGAGCAGGCCGGTCGCGGCCATACGCGTGCTATTTGTCGCGCCCAAGACCCTGATGGCAGCGCAGTCCAAGGCGAGTGACATGCCGGTGGAAGACGCTTGCAAGGGCGCTCAGGAAGCATGCCTGGGCAGCATGGACTCTCGAGAAAGGCGCCTCGCAAGAGCTCCCAAGAAGCTCCGAAGGGGCTGCTGAAAGGCTTCCGGCACGCGTAGTGGGAACGAATAGGATAACGCTGGCCGGAACACGCTGCGACTTCACGCAACTCGCTGCGGGGATGCCTGACCGGGAGCCTTGGAGAGAAGCCGGCGTGGCTCTGGCTGCCCGCTTCTTCTCCGACAACTATGACTCTCCAAGGAGCTATCCAGGAACAATGGGGCCAGCCCTCACGGAGAGGGTCAAAGTGGGTTCGCCGCCCTGGCTTCGCCGCCGCAATTTGCCGCCGCTTCCGCCTCCTCGTCAGCTGGGCTGGGGGCGTGGCGCCGTTGCTGGGGCCTCGCGGCCTCAGCCCGCTCGTCGTCGACGTCGTCGTCGTCGTCGTCGTCGTCGTCTTCGTCGTCGTCTGGGATCTCCCTCTGGCGCTGCGCGCCGCCGCGCCGTGGCCGCTGCCGGCTGCGCGCCCCAGAGGCTCACCAACGTTTCTTTTTAACAGTGGATGTTGTGCAACATGTTCGTACACCGGTAAACTTGCAACATTTTGATCATCCGCCGGTAAAATGTAACAGTGGATGCTGTCGTCCACCGGTAATTCAACCGCATCCACCGGAAAACCAACATCCACCGGTATTCCAGCATCCACCGGTAATCCATCAACACATCATTTGGTCATATTACGACCAATAGTTAACATGATTTACTTCACGCGCGGTTTCCTATCATGCACCCACGACATCACCGTCTTTCACGCCCAACCATGAGTGCGTCAAGGTGCACGCGGGCGCTCGTGCACACAGACATACATGTCAATGCGCGGCCACGCCCGCGCCAGGCACCCATGAACAACCATGCGTAATCACATGTCCGCGGGTGCCTAACACGGGCGAGGCCACGCAGTGGCATTTATGCGTATGTGCAGGCGCGTGCGCGTGCCTTGGCGTCGCCGACAGCACACACCGGTAAAATTGACATCCACCGGAAGCCTAAGTACATCTACCGGCATTCATGTTTAACAGTGGAGGCGTTTTTCTTCATTTAAGCTCATGCACCAGTAAATGGCCGACACCAACCGGTAAAACCAACATCCACGGGTAAACAGGCCGACGCGAGCGCAACGTCAAAAAGTAACAGTGAAGAGCCTCAGGGGCCGCGCGGGGCGGGCACCCCCCCCGGCCGCGCGCAAGGATGGGGCCGGGGCTCAGGAGGCGGGGGTCAGTACAAACGGGGGTTCATGACATAAGCACAGGAACTCGGAGGTCCGCGCGGATTTCTCGCATCCGCGCTGGGGCCCCCCTGGCGGCGGCTCCGGCGCCGCCCCTGCTCCGCGCGCCAGGGAGGGGGGTCCGAGGCCGATCCGAGAAATCCGCGCGGACCTTCGAGATGTTATGTTTAATGGGACACACAGGGACATACTAATACTATATGTCCTCCTTGGAGGCGCGCGTCCGACCCGAACATATAGTATACCCATCTTGTAGTATATCGTTTCCCGAGCGGTGTGGCCGGAAAGCGCCCACCACGACGCATATACTACAAGATTTCTCGGTGCGCGTGTCGCCCCTGGGGGGGCGACGAACACATAGTATACGTATGTTGGGGGGACGCCGATTTAATGTCATTCTTCGTTCCCCTAGGTCAGTCGGAGCGCCAGATCTTGCAGGATCCTGCAGAGCCGAAAAAGGGAATCGGCCTGGGCTCGGGTGCAGGACCCTGCAGGATCCTACAAAGGCCTGGCCGACCCGGGTCTGGACTGACCCGGGTCAGAAGATCGATCCCCGATGGGACTGGGGTTACGTCGGACGTGCCCCCACAGGGGGATTTTGGGCGAAAATAAAGAATACCCAAAAAATACCGCCAAAATATTCAAAAATAGTCCAAGAATCGTCCCCAGACTATTTTTTAACTATTTTTGAAGATTCCCCCTGCAGAGGGACACGCCCGACGCAAGACTCGGGGGGGGGGGGGGGGGGCGTGGGGGGGGGGCAGGCGCCGGGGGAGCGATGGCAGCGGTCGACGGTGCGCATGCCGCGCGCGGATCTCTCCCCAGACATGCGACGTTCTGATTTTTCAGGATGGCGTCCCTGGAAGTCCCGACCCTTTGCCCGGGGCTGGTTTTTCATCCTGAGTCGTTTTTTGACGGCGGGCCCCCCGGGGCCGAAAATGGCCAAAAACCTCACGTCCTGATTTTTTTACGACGCGATCATGTCTGGGTCCCCTACCCCTCCCGTTGCCGACGCGGGGGGAGGGAGGGCGCCACCCCCCGCCCCGCGCGGCGCGTGGCCTCTCGAGCCTCGCGGCGGGGCGGGGGGCGCCGTGACGGGGGCCGCGGGCCTGTGGGGGGGACCGCCTCTCCCTCCCGCTCCCGCTCCTGGAGGGGGAGGAGGAGGAAGGGGAGGAGGAGGAGGGGGAGGAGGGGGAAGACGAGGAGGAGGAGGAGGAGGAGGAGGAGGAGGAGGAGGAGGAGGAGGAGGAGGAGCAGGAGGAGGGGAAGGGGGAAAAGGAGGAGGGGGAGAAGGAGGAGGAGGAGAAGGAGGAGGAGGAGGTCCCCCCTCCTGCCGTTCTACCATTACACAATCTGAATACTACTCTCCTCTCTCCCCTGGTGGCGTCCGGGGAATATCTGGCCCCCCTCCGCGTACTGGTTTCTTTTGCACACAGGATTCCTGGGATATGGGTTTTCGCTTGGGTGTTTTTTTCACAATGCTGCTCTCGCTGAAGCGCTGGCCGCATTTTCGGGCCACCGCTCGTTCCGAATCGTGCTCCCGCTGCAGCGCTGGCCTCATTTTCGCGCTTCCGCTCGTTCCGCGTTCCGAATCGTGCTCCCGCTGCAGCGCTGGCGTCACTATTTCGAGTGCCATGCCCCGGCATGGTTTTCGGTCCTTCCAAATAGGCCCCAAAATCAAAAAAATGCCTTCCCGAAAAAACATGGGAAGTGATTACACTCTCGTTGTCGATTCGTTGATTTTTGGGGCCGCAGAAGCCCCCCACCACTTTGGGGCGTCGCCACGCCATGCAATGTCAGGCTACGCGTCCTCATGTCCGCGCTTCCGCGCTGAGTTGTTTTTCGAAATGCTGCTCTCGCTGAAGCGCTGGCCGCATTTTCGGGTCACCGCTCGTTCCGAATCGTGCTCCCGCTGCAGCGCTGGTTTCATTTCCGCGCTTCCGCTCGTTCCGAATCGTGCTCTCGCTGAAGCGCTGGCGTCGTTATTTCCATCGCCATGCCACGGCATGTCTTTCGGTCCTTCCAGATAGGCCCCCAAATCTAAAAAATGCCCCCCCCCCCCCCGAAAAATCATCGGAAGTGATTACATATTCGGTGCCGATTCGTTGATTTTTGGGGCCGCAGAAGCCCCCCACCACTTTGGGGCGTCGCCACGCCATGCTATGCCAGGCTACGCGTCCTCATGTCCGCGCTTCCGCGCCGAGTTGTTGCGCTGGCCGCATTTTCGGGCCACCGCTCGTTCCGAAGCGTGCTCCCGCTGCAACGCTGGCCTCATTTCCGCGCTTCCGCTCGTTCCGAATCGTGCTCCCGCTGCAGCGCTGGCGTCACTATTTCGAGTGCCATGCCCCGGCATGGTTTTCGGTCCTTTCAAATAAGCCCCAAAATGAAAAAATGGCCTCCCGAAGAAACCATCGGAAGTGATTACACATTCGGTGCCGAATCGTTCATTTTTGGGGGGCTACGCGTTGATCTTCGACACCATGCTATGCCATGTAATGCTACGCCATGCTACGACATCCGATTGTGCGAACGGAAAGGAGATCTATGCCATGGTAAGGGATGGGAGGGAGGGGTAGGACGTCAGATATGACGCGAGCGCACCCAGCTTGCCCCCTCCCCCTCCCCCTCCCTGGTTCTCCCGCCCTTCCCCCCTCCCATTATCCGTCATCCTCCCTCGTCCCCCTTCCTCGGGGGGGGGGGGGGGCGGGGGAAGCTGGCAGGCGTGCGCGGGATAGTTGGCCCCGCTGGTTCGTGAGATTGTCTGCCGCATGCCTCGGCTTGCTCGCTGCATCGAGCGATTGTTGGAATAGTCGAGCCCTCATCCGCCCTCCTCTCTCCGTCCTTGCCTCCCTCCACCTTCCGCCCCATTCGACGACCACGGTCCATCATCCACATGATGTTCCGGCATGCGGCGAAGCGGACGTTGGGAACGCCATCCTCGGCGGCGTCTGTGGCACAGAATAATCGCCAGAAGAGAGAGGCATAACACCAATAATGCGAATAATAGCATGGTGATGCTGACGGGTTGGACGAAGACACACAGATGAGCTTGCTTGCTCGTTTCAACCGCATCGGTGCCGAACCCGTACGGCAGTTGTTCTCAAGCGCCACAATGCAGGGGTGATCCTACAAGGGAGATGCACTAAGTGAGTTCGAGCACCGAGCCAAGTCCATCTCAAGCGACTCCAGCATGTCGGCAGCATTCTCGTGAAGCTGAACATCCGCAAGTTAGCGGTTGCAGAAGATCCGTGCCCAACTGGGCGAGCATCGACAGGTGATTGCAGCGCTCGCGGGTCAGGCTAACTGTAAATCAGTGCACCTGGAAGCTCCAGCTGATGGGGAGAACGAGCGACCCTGGCGACGAACCCAGCCCATCTGCAACAAATGACCAGAACCACTTGCCAAGCTTTCAAAGGTGATGGCATGCTGAGGGACGCGTTTGGTGTGAAATTGATGATTGGGAGGCTCGCGCGCTGCGCGAATCAGCGGAGAAGCTCGAGTGCGGCAGCACCTTCAAACATGGTATGGAACAGGGTTGACGGATATGCACAGCGATTGCCACTATGAGCGATGAGGCGGAAGGCGGTCGGGAAAAGTGGGGAAAAGAAGTGGTGCAGGGGCGTGGAAGAAAGTATGATAATGGCAGGAGCTGAGGGATGTATCTGCAAAGGGGGGTACTGACGATTTTGTTTTATGAAAAACCCTGTGACGTACCCAACCCTTTCTACACATGTGGCGATTGTACTCAGAACCACCCAATGCTGACTGGCATTCTGAAGGACCCGCAGTGCGCAAGACGAGCACCCAGCAGTGATTTCAGAAGAGCGCAGCAAGAAGAGGAACGGTAAATATACAAAATGGAAACACAGGGGCGTTGAAAGAAACGCGCCCAAACAGTGAACACAAAAGGGCGCGGCGGCGAGGGCTAAAACAGAATATCAGTTTAACGCAGCAACGCGCTGCGCTGAGCGGGGCACATGCATGAGGTGCATAACGGGGGTGGAGACTCGTCCAGAAGTCGAGACTGAAGGGCGCCATTTAGAAGACGTTTTAACGCAGCTCGTCCGGCATCACACTTTGTGGCGACAAATTGCGCAGATCGCAAGCCCCCCAGGGGGCGGCGAAGTCCCGAGGTGGTCCGCGTATGACGTACCTCCGCTGGACATCCCAGGAGCCCACGAAAGTGGCGACAATTGCGCAGATCGCAAGCCCCCCAGGGGGCGGCGAGGTCCCGAGGTGGTTGGTCCGCGTATGACGTACCTCCGCTGGGCCTCCCAGAAGCCCACGAAAGTGGCGACAATTGCGCAGATCGCAAGCCCCCCAGGGGGCGGCGAGGTCCAGAGGTGGTTGGTCCGCGTATGACGTACCCCCGCTGGGCCTCCCAGGAGCCCACGAAAGTGGCGACAATTGCGCAGATCGCAAGCCCCCCAGGGGGCGGCGAAGTCCCGAGGTGGTCCGCGTATGACGTACCTCCGCTGGGCCTCCCAGGAGCCCACGAAAGTGGCGACAATTGCGCAGATCGCAAGCCCCCCAGGGGGCGGCGAGGTCCCGAAGTGGTCCGCGTATGACGTACTTCCGCTGGGCCTCCCAGGAGCCCACGGAAGTGGCGACAGTTGCGCAGATCGCAGCCCTACGGCACGAGAGAAGAGGAGAGGGGAACACAGGAAACAGGAAAGAAGGAGGAGGGGAGGAGAGGGGAGGAGGAGGAAGGACGGGGCGACCACACTGCTCGATTCAAAACGAGAACCCAACACAGGAGGGTTGGGAAACAAAACACTGAAGCGGACAGAAAAACTCCAGGAGTAGAACTCGAGAGGAGGGATGCGGGAGCCTGGAGTACAGCGGAGGGAAGGGAAAGAGTGGAGAGAAAGGCGGGGAGACGAGGAGAAGGACTGGGAAGGAGGGCCAATAAGAAAAGAGCAAAAATACGCCACTGCGCCATACCTCCCAAGAGCTCCCGATATTGGAGACGGTTGCACAGTTCGCGCCCGCCAGAGCAGGCAAGGTCTGATCTGGGTCTGAGGTCTGAGCCTTCTTAGAAGCTGACACAAGCGACGACAGTGCGCAGGTCACAACGCCCATGGAGAGCGAGGTCAAACCTGGTCTACGTAAGACGTCATTCGGCTGGACCCCCAAGGAGCTCACACAACTGCCGATAAGCGCGCACTTCGAGGCCCCCCAGAGAACGGCGAGTTCTAATCTGGGTCTGCGTACGACACCTCCCAAGAACCCACAAGTCTTCTTCTCCCATACGTCAAGACCCTCATGACGCGATGGCAACGTTAGGGATGCGACTATGGAGTCGACGGGCTGGCCTGCCGCGGGGCCGTCATCACCCCGTTCTTCCTCGTGACACGAAGGCGCTGGCGCGGACTACACAGAGGGGAGCAGAGGCAGGGGGAAGAGACCAAACCTAGAAGGCCTGGGCAGCCGGGTGCGCAAAAACGGAGCACCGCGCGCGGACAGCAGCAGCCAAGAGCAGGGGGGAGAGGAGAAGCCTGGGACGCCAGCAGCAGCGAGCAGGGAGAGGGAACACAAAAGCGGCCGGGACCAGCAGCGCAGGCGTAGAGGCCTCTCCTAGCTGGGGCCGGAGCAGGTGGGGTCGGAGCATCGCGCCGCGTCGCCGATACACCGGCGATACATCGGCGATGCATCGGCGATGCAGCGGCGACGTCGACGTGAACCACATGGGGCTCCGCATCGAGCCGCATCGCGGATGTACCGGCGATGCGGCGCGATCCTCCGACCCCATCCACTCGGACCCCATCTGGGAGGCCTAGAGTCAGGGAGCGAGGGTGAGGAGGAGGAGGAGGAGGAGGAGGAGGAGGAGGAGGAGGAGGAGGAGGAGGAGGAGGAGGAGGAGGAGGGAGGAGGGGAGGAGGAGAGGAGGAGGAGAGGAGGAGGAGGAGGAGGAGGAGGAGGAGGAGAAAAAGGAGGAGGAGGAGGAGGAGGAGGGAGGAGACCACCGGCAAGCAGCGCGCAGCGGCACGGGGACGGAGAGGCACCAGAGCCCCGCTCGGCATCGGTGCCGAGCGGGCGAGCGAACGCCTCTCGCCTTGCCTCCAGACCGGCCTCGACGTCGAGCGCAATGGTCGGGAGGCGCGCTCTCCGGCTGCCCGCTGGCGCCGGCGCCCTCCAGGCACTCCCGCGAGAAAGTCTCCGGCGAGGCGGGCGGCGTCGACCGCGATGCGCCCGCGGGCTGCCCGACACCCGACCGGAGCGAGGTGTGGAATATCAGAGATCCGCCCACAGTGCGACCTGCTTGCGACAGAGGGGCGCGGTGGAACTGAAGTCGGGGATGGGCTGCGCATCGTCTTCCTTGGGGCCGCGGGCTGGAACGCGGCAGCCAGCATCGCGCGGTCACTCAAGCGCTTGTCGCTGAAGGTGGCTGCCTCTGCAGCGGCGCTCAGCTGGATACAGACATTGGGGTGGGCGTGCGGTGGAAGGCTGCAGGAGACCCTGTCGATGCGCGTGGCCTTCTGCGCGCGACGGTCAAAGCGCGCTTGCCCTGCGCTATTTGGCTCCGTCACGTTGGCGAACGGTGTGCGCCAAAAGGAATGCTGATGCGGATCTCCTTCAGTGCTCGCCATGAGTACTGCCAACCCGAGTCATGAGGACGCACGATACGGATGCAAGGGCCTCGGGAGGCCATGCCGACGCTCTGCGAGCGGGGCGCGGCCAGCGAAAGCGGCCAAGGATGGACCGAGGGGGCAAGGATGCGAAGGTACACTTGGGAAGGCTGCCCACCCTTATATCGGGAGCGGCCAAGAGGGGGGTGTCCAAGAGGGGGGGGGCAAATAATGACCGGCGGCATGTGCGCGGCCCAGCGGGGAGGCCAGTGACGTAATGAAATAAGAAGAGGCGCCATGAGATCTGGGGAAACATCATGGCCCCCGCCATGACATCCACCCCCCCCTGGTCATCACCCCCCTCTTTTCCGCCCCCGATTATAGTGCGGGCTGGCTGTGTAGGACTCTGATCGGCGAAGGACGCGGAAGACTCGCCGTGGATAGAGGACGAGGACGAGGACGAGGACGAGGACGAGGACGAGGAGGAGGAGGAGGAGGAGGAGGAGGAGGAGGAGGAGGAGGAGGAGGGGGAGGAGGAGGGAGGAGGAGGAGGAGGAGGAGGAGGAGGAGGCGATGGAGCTCCGTGGTGCGGCGGCCGCCCGGCGCTGGCAGCTCGAGTTCGTGGGCTCGAGCTCGCGCGTCGCCGGGCAGCCGCCAGCTCGAGGCTGCGAGCGTTGATGAAGAGGCCCACAAACACACAAATAAGTACACACAAATAAAAATATTCCCCATATTTTCCCATATTTTCTGAGTTTCTGTTTTCCCCACCACTTCCCATATTTTCCCGTATTTTCCTGGGGATCGACGATTAATTGTGTCTGTGTGTTTCTTCCCCTCCTGAGTTGAGGACGGCTGCGGAACCAGAGCCGCCGTCGCCGAGGTGCTTCCTTTAGTAGGAGAAGAGCAAAACGGCATCAACATAGACGTTTGGTGCTCCGCGCGGATTTCTCGGATCCGCGCTGGCCCCCCCTCCCTGGCGCGCGGAGCGCGCCCGGGGCGGCGCCGGAGGCGCCGCCGGGGGGGCCCCAACGCGGATGCAAGAAATCCGCGCGGAGCGCCAACAGTTAATGTTTATGGCGTTTTTTCCTCGTCGATACTTGCACGCGGCCAGGAACGATGTCTCGATACACCTGCACTGTGTGATGGGAGTGGGCAGGAGGAGCTGCGAGGTGTCCAGGAAGAGTTGGGTGTCCACCCACGGAGGAGCAGTGTGCCCTGGGCGCGGACATCTGGGGATCCTGGCCCGTCGTCATAAGCAGGCCGCCCGCCAAACAGCGCCTGCACGTCCCCTCGGTCAGGAGCTCGGACAAGGGCTGCACGTGGAAACATGAGGGGCAAGGGGGTCATTGTTGCTACAATGCTTCTTCTGGCACTCGTGGCGTACCTGAGCCCCGCCTCGAGTCCAAGTCTGCGCCGAAGTCCACGGCACGAACGGATGAGGTACTTGATGCAGGCGAAGAGGTCGAAGAGGCAACAGCCGAGGACGCGGTGTCGGAAGGGGTGCCAAGTGGCGCGCCTTGCGGTCAGACGTTCCCCAAGAGATCGGCTGCCCATGCAAGGTTCGCTTGAGTGAGACGGAGAGCAGAGCTCCGGAGCTGGACTTGCCCGAGGAGCTGGAGAAGGCAATGTGCTGACACGGTGAACTGTGCACGGATCGGCGGAGCCTGGGATCGCCTCCGTGGACCTCCTGCACGGCGATGGCGTATCGCTGTAGGAGATCGGGCATCGGCAACGCGAACGTGGCTCTTCGCCTCTTCGCCAGCGGCGGCTCATGGTGAGACGGCCTCCGGCGCTCCAAGGGATGAACTTCAACGCGTGTCTTCGGCTTTTGCCCGGGCCGCTGAAGTTACCTCCGCGACGCTCCCTTGTCGTCGGCGAAGAAGTCCACGAAGGCGCGATCGACGGCAACCATGTCGACCTCGCTCTTCAAGGCGGGCTGTTTGTTTCACTCCAATTTGGCGTCAAGGTTGGCGGTGGCGCCGACGTCGAGCTTGATCATCAGGACGCCGTCGAGTGCGATGCGCCCACGAGACCAGTAAGCCCTGACGGAGGGCTGGTCGCACTGGCTCTCGATGACTATGAGGAAGCGCCGTGTCTGACTCTCTCTCTTCCCGTCTGCCGAGGGCTGCAATCGGTGCTGAGGCAAGGAGGGGCTCGTTGACCAGCAACAGCGGCGCCGGAGAATGTGCGCGGAGAACCGCCAGGCAGTTTGAGGCTCGTGGCTAGAGCCGTAGCCCTTGGTACTGCACCGAAAGAACAAATGATGAAGCGGCGGCGGGGAGGACCCCCTCGATGATGGGGTGGTTGAGGTCCACGACCGCGACGGCGAACCACGCTACTGAGGGGGAAAAGGGAGTTGTGGTCGCATGAGGGGCAAGAGGAGGTCCAGGGAGGAGGGGAAGATGGAGAGGGGGCAGAACGTTGAATCCTTGGTGGCTTTTATCAGCACAGGGATGATGAATTGCATGCACTGGTCGGGCGTCATCACGCCAGAGACCTGCCCCACTCCGGGGATACATCGACATCCTCCGATTCGGAGACGTGCCCCCAAGGATCTCGCGGAGCGCTGGAGATGAGGGGATGCCTTCCCGTTGCTCGGGAACGGGACATCTCCAGATACAACGATCCACAAGATCCAGACCAGTGGATCCGTAGAAAAACAAAAGACGGCATACCGGCATACAGTGAGGGCATTGGTCAAGGAGCCTCTGGATGAGGAATCCAGAGTCTGGAAGCTGGTGGAACTCCAATCCTGGACTGGCCATGGATAGCACCACATCAGATAAGGAATCCTCCAGGGTAAACCCTGTTGGCACCTTCCTGAACGAATGCCCCCACCGAACACATAAACCGTCGGAGGCCCGCGTGGAATTCTTGGGTCGGCGCTGGTCTCCTGCCCTGGCGCGCGATACGCGCCAGGGGCGACACCAGCGGCGCCAGCACCGGGGGGGGCCCAACGCCGACCCAAAAGATCCACGCGGGCCTCCGCCTTTTGTTAATCACATCACTTGCTCCTCCAATGTCTCTTGCATCCCTGGCAGGGACCTGCAGGAGCACGTGAAGCGTGGTGAGCCGGTTCGCGTAGCCTGCGCTCTGGGAGTACTGCTCCACCAGCTTCGGCAGCAAGTGCTCCACGGTCCTGGGCATGGAAGGATAGGGCCCTGGAAGGCGGTAACCAGCTCGAGCACATCCCTGTCCCCAAAATTGACAACCCGAGGCGATGGCAATCCTAAAAATGTGGCCTCGGAGGCCGAGGGGATCCTCGAGATCGGTACCAGGTTGAGGTGCAGGCCGGCCAATGAAAAAACGGCTCCTAGACCCTGGACTTTCCCCAGGACCTGCGGCTCATCCTGAATAGTTGTTTGAAAGCCTCAGCGTCGGGGAAGGGCTCTGGGAAACCGAAAACGGCCAACAAAAAAAAGGCACGTCTCCTCCAGGATCCGTTTCTCGGTGCCGAGGTCCACTGCGACCCGAAAGTGTCGACGATCTCCTTCAAGTGTTGGATCGCGGCTTCTCGCACAGAGTGGACGGAGTCGCGGAAGCTGGACAAGTAGAAGGCCTTTCGACGTCGCCCCCGCCGCCGTCATCGCCGCCGCCGCCGCCGTCGCTGCCGCCGCCGCCAGCACCACCGCCGCCGCCGTTCGCCGCGGCCGTCGAGGGCCTCGAGTTTCGATTGAAACATCTCGACGCCGAAAAGCTTCGCCAGCTTGGGCGTTTGCTCGACGACCCTCTGGCGGATGCGCCAGTGGTTGTCCATCATGAGATTCTGGATGGTGTTGAGCAGCGAATGCACCTCAACGCACGAAAATCACGATGAGAGGAGGAACATTCGGCCTTCGGACGATTTCAACTGATGTGGGATGCTTGTAAAAGGTTCCATGAATCATCCAGAATTTTCCGAAGTTCTGGACCTGATTCTTAGCATCTGCTGATTTCTACAGGCTTCTGGAGGGAAGGGAGGAGACGAAGGGGGAGGAGAATATGGCGGTGAAGGGGTTGGAGAACGACGAGCGACAGGAGGAGGAGGAGGAGGAGGAGGAGGAGGAGGAGGAGGAGGAGGAGGATGCGACTCTGCGAGGGAAGCGTCTCGCAGTGCGCCCGGCCCCCACCCTGAGGGATCGCGGAGCCCCCGCGCCAGGCACGAAAAGAGAGGAATCTGCCGGAGAGGCGGCGGAGGCCCTTGGTGGCGACCAGGCGCGGTGGTGACGGGGCGCGCGCGGCGCGCGGGGCGCGCGCGCGCGCGCGCCTGTCTCGTCCCCTCCCTCGCGACCAAAAATAATACACTTGAGTTCCACACAAGTCAGCATGTGCGAACGCCACGCCAGCGAGGCCTGGCCCGAGCCCACATCCACGGAAAAAGTTTGAGGCCGTGGGCCCCCCGAATCCCTGGGGTGAGCCAGGAGACTGCTGGGCCGGAGACATGCCGTGGCCTTGGGGGTGGCATCTGCCGCTCGAAGTGTATGCCCTCGTCCGCGGGGCGCCTCCCTTCCAAGCAGCAGCCGTCGGTCACGCGCAGCAGCGCTCGCACGGCCCAAAAAAACAGTGCCCCGCAGCTCTGGCGCCGTAGAAGCCGCAGCGACCACAGCACACAGCCTGGCCTTCAGTCGGGCGTGCCCCCCTACAGGGGGATTCTGGGCGACTCATGAATAGTGCCCAACACATCCCCCCCCAGAAAGAGGGCGCAACGCTGGCCAGAAGATCGTCCCCAGACTATTTTCTGCGGCTGTTTCTCAAGACTCCCTCCCGTAGAGGGGCAGGCCCGACTGCAGCTCGGCCCGAGGACGCCCAGCACCCGCGCCCGCGAGCCGCCTCGGGCCCGAGGAAGCGCCCGAGCCCGAGGCAGCGCCCCGGGGGCTGGGACGGCGGCCCCCGCGAGGGCGAGGGGCGCCCGCGCGGGGCAGCGCCGAGGCGCCGCGGCCTGCTGCGGGGCGTGGCCAAAGTCAGGGGCGCGGAGGAGGGAGGGAGGAGGGAGGGAGGAGGAGGAGGAGGAGGAGGAGGAGGAGGAGGAGGAGGAGGAGGAGGAGGAGGAGGAGGAGGAGGAGGAGGAAGGAGGGAGGAGGAGGAGGGGGAAGGCGACGCCCTTTCTCTGATGGGCCTGTGTTCCACCACCACCACCGCAAGTCGGAGGAGGGGGGAGGGGGTCCTCCTCCCCTCTCCTTCTCCTTCCTCCTCCCCTCCTCCTCCTCCCTCCTCCACCTCCCTCCTCCTCCCCCTCCAGCTCCTCCTCCTCCTCCCTCCTCCTCCCCTCCTCCTCCCTCCCCCCCTCCCCTCCCCTCCCCTCCTCCTCCCCTCCTCCTCCTCCTCTCCTCCTCCTCCCTCCCCTCCTCCTTCCTCCTCCTCCTCCTCCTCCTCCTCCTCCTCCCTCCTCCTCCTCCTCCTCCTCCTCCTCCTCCTCCTCCTCCTCCTCCTCCTCCTCCTCCTCCACCTCCCTCCCCCTCCAGCTCAGGGCGGTGGCGGTGGAAAGCAGGCCCATCACTCTTGGCTGGATGCGACACTGCGGAGCCGCAGTCTGTGGCATCTCCGCGCCACGACTGCGCACGCTGCTGGCAGGGGCGGACTCTTTACACGCGGTCGAAGCGATCGGGAGTGAGCTCCCGAAAGGACCTCCACGCGCAGGCCTTCTTCGGCGCGCTCCGCGCGTGCCAAGCCGCCCTGAGAGGGTGGCGCGCGGGCCCTCCTGTGGGCACCCAGCGTCCTGCCCTCCATGTTCCTCCAAGCCCACGCAAGGATAAGAAGTCGAGGGATGAGGGAGGCTGGAACCAGACATGTCACCAGGCGCCCCCAAGCGCCGCCTAGCTTTCACGAAGTGGCAGCTCATCATCAAGCGTGGCTTTGCTTGCCCATCTGATCGAGCGGGCGAAACATCTCAAGGCCGACAGCTTATCACGGCTCTTCTTACTCTTCAGCACCTTCATACAGCACTTGGAGATCTAGATGAGCCTTCCAGGAACTTGCGATAAAATATTGCTCCTTGACAGTAATTGGTCTTATATGACTGCCAACGTTCGTCTGTCGAGGCTGCGTCCAGGCGCAACCGTGCTGCTGGCTGGATGGCATGTAGGCTTGTGCTATCCATCTGACAATATTAACATTACTATTCTGAGCCGTGAGAGGCCCCCCGAGATACACAGTGCAAGTCCCTCTCTCGTTGAGCCTTCCGTGGGCACGCGACCAAGACATACCAAGACTGCCCTCTAAGCAGACCCGTGGCCAGACTTTTGCAGTCCGTGCACACCTTTGGAAGGGGAAACAGCTCAGCCCTAGGACTGGTTTGGATCGAGCCTGGCAAGGCCCCCCAAACTAGAATGTTAATGCTGTGCCCCCTACCCGGGCGAACCCCCATCCTGCTCGCGCGGCCTCAGGCCGGTGCCGGACCTTCCGACAAGCACCGTCAGTATACACAACTCTCGCGATGGCGCCCGCACGACCGTACATTGTGCGCCATCGTCCTGATCGATCTCGCGGCGGCACTGGTGGAGAAACACGAGCGTCCAATCAGCGCGCGATCCCACATCCATGAGCCAGCCACGCGAGATGAAAAACCTCCGAGATCAATATGACCCACCTTCTCCAGATGCTCAGCTTCAAGACCTGCCAAACAAGACGATGCGCACTGCAGGAGGCTCCGCAGTCCGGACGGTCGGGCGCGTCGGCAGACTGGCAATGATGCGTCCAAAGCCCACCTCCTACGAGGGCACGGATGACACTGGCCTGGGAGGCCAGGCCTGGACATGGGAGCCAGGGAGGCCCTCGAGCCGGGCCTGGGAGGCCTGGCTCGAGAGCATCCCTGGCCCTCTTGGGCTTCTCTTGGGGCCCTCTGGGGCAGTCTCGGGCCCCTCTGTGGCCCGGCCCTGTGGCTCTCTCTAGGGGCCCTCTTGAGGTCATCTTGAGGCCTCGGGAGCTCTCGGGGGGGCGAGAAGGCCACAAAGGATGTGTTTTGCTTTGCCTCCCAGAGGCCCTCTTGGGGCGTCTTGGGGCCACCTTGGGCCGACCTGGAGGCAGTACAGGCGCGTCTTGGCAGGTCTTGCCAGGACGTCTTGGGCCCTCTTGGGAGCGCGTGTGGTCGTTTTGAAAGGGAGGGGTACGCTGATGTCCTCTCCTGCTGGCGCCTGGAGGGGTCCGTCCGCCCTGCTTGGGGAAGGAAGGCCACGCCAGAGCACCTCCCCGCCTCGCATGGCCACTCGAAGAGGATGTCAGACTGCCTTCCGGGATGGACTCGACTGTTGACTCGAAGCTTGTTTGAGGGCGGGCGTGTCCCCTCACGGGCGGATTCTGGACGAAAAAATAAAAATAGCCAAAGTATGCCAAAACGGTCAAACATGCTTCAAACATCGTCCCCTGACTATTGTTAGAACTATTTTTGAATATCCCTCCTGTAAAAGGCCAGGCCCGACTTACCGCTTGTTAGGAGCCTCTTGTTGAGGGATGAAAAACGACCCTACCCTGGGTTACAAGTGCGCGGTCTGTAAACCTCCTGGGAACCCCCGAAGCCTAGAGCCGCTAGGACGCGGCACATCACGCAGGGTTTACCCTGTCAGCCCACAGGAGTTTCAGCGCACAGCGCCTCGTAAACCAGGGTAGGGGCGTCTTTTCTGCCCTTGATCTTGTGGTCTCTTGGGGGGCCCCTCAGTGGTCCATCGGCGGCCTCTCTCTGAGGGCCTCTTGCGGGGCTCTCGGGGGCGTCCGTGGGGCATCTTCCCGCGGGGCCCACTGGGGACGTGTTGGGCTTCTCAATGACTTCGGCAACTCCTGGGAGCATCGTGGGGCCATCTTGGGCCGTCTTAGGAGCCTTCTCTGGGGCGGTTCGGGTCGTCCGATGGCTCTCGGAGGCCGTCGTGGGCCGTCTCGGGGTCGCCACTGGGCTCTCCTGGGCCTTCTCTTGGAGCAAGCTTTGGGGCCCCTGAGGCCGTCTTGGGCAGCCGGAAAACCGAGAAGGCGAGCATGGCAAACTCTTCCAAAACACAAAGAACGTCAAACACTCTTGCCTCTTGAGGCCCTCTCGGGAGTCCGCTGCTGACCGTCTCGGGGCGCCTTGCCGACCTCTGGGGCCGTCTGTGAACCTTCTTGGGGGGTCTTGGGGCATCTTCGGCCGACCTGGAAGCTGTCTCGTCTCGTCTCGTCTGATCTTGTACCGTACTGCCTTGTCTTGTAATTATGTTCTTGTCGTCTTGGCCCGACTTAAAGACCTGCCAGGCCAGCACAGGTGCCACGACACGCCGTTCTCGTCGCTGCGCGGGGACTGGAGGGATTCGTCCGCATTGCTTCAAGGGTTGCTGAAGGTGCCCCTGGCCCAAGGTGCTCCCCGCTTTTTGCTCTTTTTTTGGTGCCTCCGGGGCCCTCTCGGCCTCGCGAGTGGTGCCTCGGTGCTCTGGAAGCCGTGGGGGCCTCCGTGGAAATCCTGAGGGGCACCTCGGGCCAGGGGCATTTCTAGTGCAGCACCCGACTGTTAGGGGAAGACCCCCGTCGCCCGTTGCAACAGTTCCCCCCCTGCCTGTGGTGGAGGAGTGGGGAGGAGGAGGAGGAGGAGGAGGAGGAGGGAGGGAGGAGGAGGAGGAGAGGAGGAGGAGGAGGAGGAGGAGGAGGAGAGGAGGAGGAGGAGGAGGAGGAGGGGGGGAGGGAGGAGAGGAGGAGGGAGGAGGAGAGGAGGAGGAGGAGGAGAAGGAGAAGGAGGAGGGAGGAGGAGGAGGAGAGAGGAGGAGGGAGGGAGGAGGAGGAGGAGGGAGGAGGAGGAGGAGGAGGAGGAGGAGGAGGAGGAGGAGG